ATTTGTTGGATTCGCATAGTATTCGACAAATTCGAATGTCCTTTTCAGTAATCGCCGGTAATCTCCACTTAAAATACAATTTATTCAGAATCAAGAAATTTATATTTTCTTATGTTAATTGATGAATATTCGGAAGATACCTAGTATATTCTCTACATTACAAATCGGGTATTTGAGAGTGAACAGCCCCTCGGGAATGATTAATAGACATTTAGCGTGCTTATTTATGCAATAATAAGAATAAATTAAGATATAATTACTTCATAATAAGTGTTTTAAATGTACAGTGCATACAGTTGTTGAGTTACTATATATGTATATTACCATCAGCGGCAGCTGTGATACGCGCGTTAAACACTAGATGGCGTTGAAGATTACTTTGTGAATGAATATCTAAAATTAAACCCTTGAGTGTCAAATGTGTAAGTGAATATAAGTTTTAAAAAAATAAATCGATTTATTAAAACAACTTTTTTCATTTGTAGAAATAAAAAATAAATTTTATTAGGAACAATTTTTTTCTGTCAAAATTAATCTTTCTCCTTTTATTGAGAAAAGAAATTTTATTATTCAGAAAAAATTTTTTTTTTCAAAATTAATATTTCTTATTTTATTGAGGAAAAAAGTTTCTTTTGTGTCACAATTACTTTTTCTCATTTCATTGAAAAAATAAAATTTTTTATTAAGAAAAAAATTTGTTTGTGTAAAAATTAATCTTTTCATTTTATTATGAAAAAAAATTAGTATTAAGAAAAAAATTTTTTTAGAGAAAAATAGATTTCTTTGTGTCACAATTAATTTTTCTTATGTCATTGAGAAAAAAAAATTTTTATTGAGAAATATTTTTTTTCACATTCGTAGAAATGAAAAAAGTTGTTTTAATTAATCGATCTATTTTTTTAAAACTTATATTCACTTACACATTTGACACTCTAAAGTTTAATTTTAGAAATTCATTCACAAAGTAATTTTCATCGCCATCTACTGTTTAAAGCGCGTATCACAGCTCCCGCTGATGGTAATATACATATATGGTAAATCAACAACTGTATGCATTGTACACTTAAAACACTTATTATTGAGTAATTATATCTTAATTTATTGTTATTATTGTATAAATAAGACCTCTAAATGTCTATTAACCATTTATAATAGTTATTTACAACATATTTCGTCGATTAACGACAATTTTTCACAAGTTACCGAAACGTAACCGAATTGTAATCCAATTCGGTTACATCTCGGTTTACCCAATCCGCCAGGGTGGCAAATTAATATTCTGCTGATTTAAATTCTATGAAATATAACTTCTAACAAACTTGTTTTAGGGCTTATACATGCGTCCCCTTTTTCTTTGGTCTCACCTCGCAATTGTCGCTTTCCGCAGGTTCATCTCCCGGAGTAGCCTTGCATTATATTTATATTTATACTTTGGCTGTCCAAAGGAGGAAGAATCTGAGCTTTTAATAAACTGCCGCATTTGCAATTACCTAAAAATTATATCCTTTGTAAAATAAGTCAAATTACCAATTAAATTTTATTATTATACCGTTCTTTTTATTAAAGATTTTGCCGTTTTTTTAAAAACGTTGAAAATAAGCTTCATAACAAATTTAAAATATATTAAATTGAAAAATTAATAAAATGAATTTGGAAATGTTTTTAAACTTTATAACATTAAATATTTGTTAAAATTCGTAATATGTACAAAAATTTTCTGTCAAGGAAAAGTCAAAGAAATTGGAAAAAGGATTCTTGGGACAACCCTGTTATTGTTACTTTATTTTAAGAGATAAAATAGTTTGAAAAACCGTTTATATAAACTATGTTTTCTACGAAACTTTAAAACATTTCGTTTATAAATTAAATTCAAACTTTATTGAAAATAATAAAAATTTTACAATTAACTATTTAATTATATGAGTCAAAATTCTTCCTTATGTATTCATATTATATAGATTAATTAATTAACTTGATTTATTTGTTCTGATATTACCTTGAAAACTGTCAGATGTTTTGTCTGAATTTATATATAAGGGCTTTCAAAATGATACCCATGATTCAATTTGAAGTCATCATAAATTTTTCTTGAAATTAGTTCTGTCCACTCACCAGACTTGAAAATATTGACTGTGCGAATTCGGGTCTTATTAGACTTATCTTCATATTTTCTAGAGAACTTTCAATAATTAAACTTTTAAATTCCGCTTTCCCAAAAGTTAATTGGAAAATGAAATTTGACTTCTCATCAGGCGAATCATTTGAAATAGTCGTCGAGTTGATGTTATTCGATTCTTGGATTTCCTCTGGTTTTTTTAACCCGAGAAGTAATTTTTTCAGGTTAAACCTGTCATTCACCACATAAGAATAAATTGAATTTGGTTTTACTTAATTCCCTACCGGAAGGGTGGTACTGGATTGGTACTGGGAAATTGGAACTGAGATCTCAGTACCAATTCAGTACTAATTTGGTGCATTTTGGTACTGAAATGGAACTGGGAAATTTGCCTGCGAAAAGGGTCGAGTTACCGTTAATACCCTCATAAAAGTGAAAAGCGACTAGCTTTTTCAATATGTTTAAACTAAAACTTTATATTTATTTCAATATTATATTTGTTTTTCATGGATTTATATTATTTTCATACATTATTATGCATATGATATTTCCTTTGGCAGCTAAATTCAAAAATGATGTCCATTTTTTTATCAAACTTAAGGTATACGAGATAAATTATAACTTTTTTAAATGTAATTATTTTATGATAAATTTTAGATATTCATAATCTGGAAATATTAACGAATCTCAATATATATTTTTTAAAGTTGAGTTATTAAAATTACAAATTTTTTAAGCAATAAAACTCGGGTTAAAATTGTAATCCTTCAACAAAGGACTTTGGAGTCTATTGTATTTCCAAACTTAACTGAAATTTTCTACAAACTATTATGTTTTTTTGCTGTTTTACACGGATATCGTGAGAGACGTTATGCTGTTCTAACATACCTTTAAAACTATTGTTAAAGTACTTTAAAAATGTCTTCTTATGGGTTATCAGGTAGTGGTACTGAAGTGGAACTCAAGCCAAGTCCAATTCAGTACTATTCCAGTACCTCTCTTTCGGTAGGGTTTAATAATTCCTCAGATATCAGTGTCCAAATTTCATTTTGTTCAGTCACAAAATTAGATTCATTACCCATGATTAATATCGTTTCGGTGCTATGAGTTTAATATATATTAGTCATTGCACACACTCGTTAACTTAATAAAGAGTGAATTTCTTGGGAGAATGAACAAATAAATACTCAAAATTTAATTTTTATTCAATATTTAATTTAAATATTCCTATTCGTCGGAACGGTCAACAGCAGACTAGTCCTAATGACGTTCGTCTGGGGTTTTATAAGGGTACAATATTTGAAAAGGTGGTGGGATGAAATAAGATAGAATTTAAATAAGCGAAGATAGACATAGAATTTATGAATTCTAAAGGTTTGAAAGACGTGTCCTTCTAATATCTATTTTACAACTTAATCCGGGTGGCAAGAAGTACCTTAACTTTATTGCTGATCGATGTACAAATTTGTTTTTTTTATCTTTATGAAAGAAACTAAGCTGTATTTTTAAGGATTAACAACAAACTTGCCTATTCAAAACTGCATTTTTACAAACATCTGCTCACAATATTGTCATGCAATTGTAAATGTGAAAGTTTTACATTACCTTTTTATTCGTTTTGAAATAAATTCTATATATTTATATAAAGATTAAACAACCCAAAACACTCTCGTCTTTGTGTTTTAATACAGCGTCAACCAATAATAACGTTTCCACTGTAGGTGGTCGTCCACGAGACATTTTTAAGCAAATATTAATATTTTAATAAAACTTCAAATATTTCAGAAAAGTATCCACTTCCAAACTACTTGCAGATACACTAAAAATTTAACCAAATGCCTTAATTAAAAATGATATTACACTCAAGGAAAAGGAATATTATTCTTACACAGCCTCATAAAAATTTATTTCGTTTAAATAAATTCTATTTGTGCTAAATTAAATTTTATATTTAAATTATATTAAAAATTATGATGACAATATAGAGTAAAACAGTAAATTAAACAATTATTAAATTAATAACTTTTTTTAGATATTTAAAATAATATTTTTTTAATAAAATTCATACTTAAAGAATTTGCAAAAATGTTCAAAACTTCTGACTATTTTTTCATAAAAGTTCTGTTATTGAATGTTTAAATGTTCTCCAAACAATTAATAAAACATTCACTCACTCACTTATAAAATATTAATTTTGTACGTTCGCATGACCACTTTTGGCATTTTAAAGCATTTGAAATAAACATTAATTGACTTTTTTTAAAAAAACGAACCTCGAAGTTGTGGAACTACACGAGGGCACCTTGCAGTGCCCCCGCTCTTTGCCCTCACGGTTGCCTTACTTAAAAATTTTTCTAAGTCAAAAAAAATGGCGGATCCAATATGGGGGACAGGAAAATTAAAAATCATTAAAATTTACCTAAAACTTGATACTTAGAAGTTTTCAGATCGATAAATTCGAATCTGATGTTTATTTTTAAAAATGGTGGATTCAATATGGCGGATAGAAAAATTAAAAATCAATAGAATTTACTAATATCAGATTCGTAATCAGCGATCCCAATAACCCCCGAGTAACTTGTTTCAAGCAAATCCGCCGAAATTAGAAAAATATTTTCATTTTTGAAAACAGACTTCAGAGTCGTAATCAGCGACCTTGAAAACCTATAAGTGCATACAGTTTTAAAAATTTTGGTGCTGTAAAAGTTTCTTAACATTTTGAACCCACATTTAAGATATTGCTCCTCACAGCGAAGAGTTTAAACATAATTGACAAAAATATCAAATCTAAGATAAAATTTGAAAAATTCTGTTTTGATAATATTTCGTAATTAATTTTAATGATTATTTTTCAATGATTTATGTATATGTATTCTGATTTTAGGCGAACCAATTAGCTTTGATAAAAATGATACATCTTCGAGATTTTTGACTTTTCGTAAAGTATTCTCAGAAGTGGTAAAAGTCTTGATTGATAATAATGATTGTTACAAAACAGTTACACCAATTGTTGATACAAAGGTGCCAATAATTAGATTTATAGAAAAAAAACAACGAATATCTTGTGATTTGTCCTTTAACAATTATTTTGGTACTAAGAAGAGTCTCCTCATAAAAAATTATTTAACATTTGATACACGCCTAAAGCCTTTTATAATGATTATTAAAAATTGGCTTGAAAATTGCAAATTTAAGAATGTATCAGGTTATATCTTAGTAATGTTGTCGATATTTTATTTTCAATTACTCGATTTGGTGCCTCCTGTAATAAAATTAAGAAATTCACGTGATCCTGAATTTATTGAAGGATGGCAAGTAAATTTTAATGAAAATATTCAACATCCTTCATCAAGCGATAAAAAATCGATTCCTGAAATGCTTTATGGATTTTTTGACTTTTACGCTAATTTTAATTTTAAGAAATTTGTTATTTGTCCTCTTGATGGTTTTGCATACCCGAAGGAAGCATTTAAAAATTTAGATAAGCTTCCAGAAAGCATGAACAGGTATGTATATTAAAAGTATATAAATTTTAAAACATTTTTTGACAGAACCATGTTCTAATAATTTAAGTGTTCTATTCACGGTTGCCACAAAAATTTCAAAATAATTTTTCCTGACATTTCCATGACTTCCAGAGAAAAATATCGTATTTTTCGCTGACATTTTCGTTTTTCAGGGTGTCTACTAATTTCGTTCAACAAAATTCCCGGTTATTTCCTAATTTTTCCCAGTTTATTTTTTGCTGACAAATTTAAATTTTTTTTTGTAAACATGCATAAACCTACAAATATCTACGAAAATTGACTATATTTTATGAAAATAATTGTTTTCATAGTTTGTATATTTCTTTTATTGTATTACACTACCGTCCGAAATTGTGCGAACTCTGCCTTTTCAACAACTATAAAACTGTTCAAATCTTCAAAAATATTAAAACTAAAATTTTTTCCTCTTTATTTTATTAAAGCTAATAAAATTCTGAAAGAAATGACACCTTGACAAAGAGAATATGTTAATTTTTCAATTAGATATCTAAGAAAAACCCAATTTTCAATGTTTTTACTATTTTTTTTATTTCTCTGGCAAAAATTAATATTTTTAAACGTTCTCAGGCTCATTGAAATCGTATTTTGTTATGCAATTCAAATTATATAAAACAATTCATGTACACATTCTTCCCTAGCATATGCAAACCGTGAAAGTTGGCTCATAAAATGTCAAAAAATTTAAATTTAATTCTACAATAAAATATAATGTTTAAAAATCAAGTAAATATATCATTCTAAACTTCTCTGATTTATGTAAGTAAATTTAAGATTTATACATTTTACTGATCATTTTTTGTCATATAAATATTAATCACAATTTTTTGACATTTTATGAGCCAACTTTCATGGTTTGCATACGCTAGGGAAGAATGTGTACATGAATTGTTTTATATAATTTGAATTGCATAACAAAATACGATTTCAATGAGCCTAAGAACGTTTAAAAATATTAATTTTTGCCAGAAAAATAAAAAAAATAGTAAAAACATTGAAAATTGGGTTTTTCTTAGATATCTAATTGAAAAATTAACATATTCTCTTTGTCAAGGTGTCATTTCTTTCAGACTTTTATTAGCTTTAATAATAAAATAAAGAGGAAAAAATTTTAGTTTTAATATTTTTGAAGATTTGAACAGTTTTATAGTTGTTGAAAAAGCAGAGTTCGCACAATTTCGGACGGTAGTGTATATTATTATATTATTCTTGTATTGTAGTCAATTCAGAAGTTTTTTAATCACAATTCGGAGTAAGCTAACGAATTTAAATAAAACTTGGTAGTATGATACCAGGAGGCCAAACAATAGCCATTTTTTAAGAATTATCATTTCAAAGAAAGTTGTTAATTTATTAGAATGAATTTTTCTCCATCGGATTATGTAAATTTTAAAGTGTAAACGAGAATATAGGAATATAGGTTCCTTTATAAAAACTGTTATGGAATCCTAGGTCCACATAGGAATCCACATAGAATTCCATGTAAAATCATATATGAAATTCGGACACGATTTGGTGTATGATTTTATGTAGGAATTTATGATGTTTCTACATTGAAATCTATGTGAATTCCTACATTATTTCGTATAATTTTTCTAGCATATTATTTTTGTCAATTTCCTTCATAATTTACTCACATCAAATCTTATAAAAAATATTATATAAAATTCTTAAGATTTACTTATATAAAATCTTACATACAAGTTTTAATATAGGAAACCATGTGGAATTTCATGTGCATTCATACATATGATTTCACATGAAATTGAACATAGGAAATCATATGGGATTTCATGTAAGTTCTGAAATATCTACCTAAGATTTCACATGGAATTATATAAAGGAACCCATGTAGGATTTCATGTGGTAACAGTGATGCGAGGCTGCACACCAATCCCACTCCCACCATGCCGTCCTTGCGCCTCCCTCCATTCACTCAAGCATAAACCGTGCGTTTACTCTTGCAAGTGTGCCTATTTTTCGTTCTTCTCATATTCGCCCGCTTCAATTGAGCGACTATGTCCTTATTCTTAGTGTGAAATTGTGTGGAATTTTGTGAAATCGTGTCGTTCAGTTCTGGCGATAAGGGTTAATTTTTTCTTCGCTTCCTGGTAGAAATTTCATTTTCACTTTATATTCGCTCGGTGAGTCTTTTATTCTTTCTTAATTTTCCCAATTTTTTATTAAAATATGGATCCCGAAAACGGACATAATGTTTGAAACCAAGGAGAGCCGCCAAAAAAAGTTAAAAAAACTCACTAGTTTTCAAGAATCTTGGTTTGATGAATTTCCTTCGTGGAGAGAATGGGTGTTTAAAGTAGAAAATGATGATAAAAAATTTTAATGTAGAGTTTGTGATAAAATTTGTACTTCTGGTAAATTTCATATTCAGCGACATGAATCTAGTTTGGTTCATAAAAATAATTTTAGTATTTTTGAAAAATCTAAGCCTTATGGATTAAATTTACTTAAAAAAGAAGCTTCTCTAAACACTCATTCCGCGGATTGTCAGGCAGTTACAGCAATTGATAATTCAAATAATGTAGATTTGCTAGAAAATGAAGTTAGTTTTTTTGAAAATACTTTAAATTTAAATTCTTCCATTTCTAATTTAACTTATGAGCAAAAAGTGAAAAAAAACGGAAATTAAAATAACGGTTTTATTTGTTGAAAATAATATTCCCTATAGTTTATCTTGAGAGTTGATTAAATTTTTTCAAATTTTAGATCCCATCGTTTTTAAAGCTGTTAAATTGGCGCGTACAAAAATGACTTCAATCGCGAATAATGTTCTTTGTAAGGTTGCAGAAAAATGTATTACAGACGTTTTACAAAATTAACCATTTTCGGTTTACGTATAAGTGACGAAAAGTGATTACCGATTTTAGTTCGGTATGTGGAACCAAGATCGGTGGAAATCAGAGTAGTACTGCTGCAACAAATTAATGTAGATGCGACGGATTGTTCTTCTTCAGCGTTGTTTGAAACTTTTCAAAATGCTTTAAGTAAAAAGCAAATTCCTTTTAAATATATTGCAGGTTTAACAATTGACAATGCCGCGGTCATGACTGGTCCTAATAATTCTTTTCAAAGTAGATTAAAACTAAAAAATCCTTATTCAAAATCTCTTCCGTACGTAGATTATTCCCTTTAATCTTGTTGCTAAGAGCGCATCTTCAAAAATTCATACGGTGGATCATTTAATTTTAGCTATTCCAGCTTTTTTAAATGTGAGCCCAAAAAGAACAGCAATTTATCGCGAAATTGTTTAAAAATTGGGAGAAACATTTCAAAAAATTCCTAGTTACTCTGACGCACTCTTAAAAATTGGGAATTAATAATCCAATTTCTCATGCTTGTCGAATCGGAAGACAATACTCAAAAAGCGAAAAATTTACGAGAGTTGATGCAGGGCCCGTTAACTTTAGCATATTTTCAGAATGTACATAAATCCCATGTGATTTCCTATGTTCAAATCCATGTGAAATCATATTTAAAAATGCATATGAAATTCCATATGGTTTCCTATATTAAAACTTGTATGTAAGATTTTATATAAGGAAATCTTTAGAATTTTATATGATATTTTTTATAAGATTTGATGTGAGTTAATTATGAAGGAAATTGACAAAAATAATATGCCAGAAAAATTATAGGAAATAATGTAGGAATTCACATAGATTTCAATGTAGAAACAACATCATAAATTCCTACATAAAATCATACACCAAATCGTGTCCGAATTTCATATATGATTTTACATGGAATTCTATGTGGATTCCTATGTAGACCTCGGATTTTATAACGGTTTTTATAAGGAACATATATGGAATCATATATAGGATCCCATGTGGGAATTTTCAATAGGGTATGACTTCATTTTTGTAGAACTTTGACTTTTACTCGCTATTGGCAGTTGAATTTGTGTACAAAACTAATTATATAGAAATTATTACATATTTTGTGAATTTAATAAATATTTTTTATTATAAATATAAACATTAATTGTAGCTTGTTATTTACTTAAAAAAACATTTTCTCTGAATTGGTGTTGCACAAAGTACTGTGTGCACCACGTACGAAAGAACATTTTCCGACTTCGTGCAAATTGCTGCAAATTTTGCACTTGTCGGAAAATAGCTTCTTTTGGTACTTGGTGCACAACGTACTATTTTAGAAGCTGCAACTTTGTTAATGTAATGTTTTTTTCATTCCTTAAAAAAAACAAGAATTGATCCTATATTAAAATAAATATTTTGCTTTTTTTATTTCAGATGTCCAGTTAAAAAATATCTTGCTCACCGTAAAACACTTTTTTTTAGATAATCTGTAAGAAAATCGATATTTTTTGCAATATTAAAAATATTACCTTTACTTCAAAAGTTACATAATCCGATATAAAAAATTCCATTTTAATAAATTAACAATTTTCTTTGAAAAAAATTCTCAAAAAATGGCTTTTTTTGCCACTTGACTAGGTATAACTCTTTCATGTAGACCTCGAAACGAAATGACCTAAATTTCAAAATATTCCTTATTTTTGCAGCTTTCATATCCATAAAGAAAATTGATGCACTCGGTGTTAACTTACTCAGCATTTTTGAAATTGTTTATCGTTATTTATTGAAGTAAAAAATAATTTTTTAATGACATTAATATATTATTAAAATAATAAAACTGGATTTAAACGTAAAGTAAGAAAAATTCCGGTTTGACGTGCAATTCCCGGTTAGTAGACACCCTGGATTTTTTCTATTAAATATAAATTCTATCCAAAATTGTGTTAAATGAAATTTCGATCAAATAAAACATGGGTTAAATAAAAATTCTACAAATAATTCTGTTAAATTGTTATTATGTTATATATAAATTCATAACAAATTAATATTTTAATGGAAATCTATGTTTACTACATTTTTCTAGCACTTTTTATTTAATTACCTGACTTTTTTGACTTCCCTAACTTATTGCAACCCTGTTATTACATTGTTTGATTATTACAAAAAAAATATTTCATTCAAAGGTATAAAAAGTATATTAGAACTACTAAAAACGCATTTCCATTGGATATTAAAGAACCACTGTGCATCCAGGATCCAATCATACTCAATTTAAACTGTTCCGCTAACACTTCCAGTAAATTTGTTAATACTTTCAAACAGAAAGCCTCTATAGCGGCAGATATTTGTGCAACTAATGTTGATGGAGATTTTCTATGTGAATTATTTAATAATAAAACAAAGAAGAATAATAAAGTTTTAAGGAAAAAAAAAAACTTTTTACATATTCAGAAAACGTAAGACATTTTCTCCATTATAATATTTCTACTTATTATAAAGATGTTAAATTTCAGTTGAATTCAAATATTTTTTATTTAATTTTTAATTAAACAATTTTTTGATTATTTTTTTTAGTGAAGCAACGAAAAACGTCCCTAGAGACAGAAAAAAAAAATTAAATCGAAAGGAATATCGAACTAGTTATAAAGAATTGGGAAAAATTATATCAATGAAAAATTTAAGTTTTAAGGATCAATTGGCTTTATTTGTAAAAAAATTCACCTTAACTGATAGTGCAATTGAAGCTTCCTATCAAGCCATATGTGATGATTTGAATCAAATGTTTCGACAATCTTTTCCCATGTGTTCCACGCGGAAAATTGGTTTAGCAGCAACTGGAATATGGCTTAAAGGCTCTATATTGGACATATATTTGGAGACAGGTATATAAAGGGCAAAAATAAATTGTATGTGGACGGCCGCATGAAAAGAGACACACTTTATCGATTACAATAAGGATTTTTTTTGCGTGAATATATTAATGCGAATATTGCTCTTATGAAAGAAACTAGAATTGTTCCTTTTCATGCGGACGTCCACATATATATTTCAGGCCTAGGATTATACGACTTTTTCCGACTTTTTTCGACTTATTTTGATAAGGTGCGACTTTTTCGACTTTTCTTTACATTTTTTTACAATATTTTAAAACAAAGCACTTTTTTTTAGTATCTTTAAAAATGTAATTATTTAAAAAACTTTTGAATTAAAACTCTTAAATTGTTGTCAGAAATGAGAAAATAAAAAGGTAGATACCATAATTACCAATAAAAACTACAGCAATTTAAATTTGCAGAAAATATATTTCAAATTTACAATCTTTTGCAATTTAATTATTAAAAAAAAGAATTTAAAAATCTGTAAAACTTAATTATTGTCCGAAATTTGTTTGATCATTAAAACTAAAAACTGTGACAAAACTTTTAATTCGAATAAATTGCTTAAATACGACTTCAAAAAATTATTACAAATTTTGAAAATTTGTCTTAGTTCGATTTTGAAATATTCGAAGCTTTTCATAGTAATTTTCTTATTAAGTAATTAATATAATGAATTTAATATCTAGTAACATTAGTTATTTAATGTAAAATATTTATCAACTAATTTAATTTAATTAAAATAAACAAATCGACTTTTTCGGCCTTTTTTGGGAATCTAAATGTAAATTAAAGTCGATCCGAGGTTTGATATTTTAGAACTAAATTTTTACTGATTTTATTAAAATCGATAGAATGAATCAGGTTTTACAAAAAAGATTAAAAATTGGAAATAATACCATATTAATACCTTGTTAATAGATTACCCAATTTTTAAAATGTTAATGAATTATTTTTAATAATTGTAGGTGAACCTACAAATTCATGTGAAAACGATTCATCTTCCACAATTTTGACGTTAAAAAATGTTGCCTCAGAAATAATGAAGCTCTTATTTATAAAGGGCGATTTTTATAAAAAAGTTAAGCTATCTGGAGGATCAAATATGCAAAAATTTACATTTGTAGATATTAAAAGAAAAGCCAATTGCATTTTAAATTTTGAGAATCCTTTACTTGTTCACAAAGCTCGCCTAATAAAACATTATTTATCATTTGACACTCGCATCAAACATTTGATAATTATTATTGAATACTGGATACAACGTCATAAATTTTCAAGTCAATCAGGTATGGATTGTGGCTTAATATTGTTATTAATATTTTATTTGCAACAACCTGAAGTCAATTTGGTGCCTACTGTAATAAAATTAAGAAATTCCTGTGATCCTGAATTTATTGAAGGATGGCAAGTGAATTTTAATGAAAATATTCAACATCCTTCATCAGATAATAAAAAAACGATCCCTGAATTGCTTTATGGATTTTTTGACTTTTACGCTAATTTTAATTTTGAAAAATTTGTTATTTGTCCTCTTGATGGTTTTGCATACCCGAAGGAAGAATTTAAAATTTTAGATAAGCTACCAGAAAGCATAAACAGGTACAAAATTTAATCTTGTTTTAAATAAATAAAAAATTTTAATGCATTCATAATATTTCACCTAAAAACGTTTCAGTTTGTGTTTTGATTTATTTTTAATATTACAATAATTATATCATAAATTTTTTTTAATTTTTATATCAATTTTATGTTTTAAAAATATAATTTTTTGTGTTAATTATTTTTATTTTATACAAATTAAATAGCAAACTAAGACGGAAATTTATTTATTATAAATTATAAATAATAATTTATTTAGAAAAAATCAATTTTTTTATACTTCTTGTTAGATGTTTTAAAAAATAATTTTGTTGAAAGGTATATGGAATATGGGACGAATCACAAAGACGGCTGTTTATTAAATGTGAAATCAAAATTTTGTCTTCAGGATCCTACCACATTGAATGTTAATTGTATCAGCAGCTTAAATGAATCTTTTAAAATATGTATCCATACTGCGGCAGAAGTTTGTGCAGAAGCTCTTAAAAATGATTCTTCTCAATTGTTGTTTAATTTGTTTGAGACATAAGCAATCAAGAAGTAACAAGAAAAAGAACTTTGTCGAATTAAAAATTATCGAATTTTTATTGAACACAATTTTATAAAGTAGATTTTATAATAAGCCGGTGAGGCTGCACCCGAATTGCGTGCGGATCCTCGAATTGCGTCCCGAGGGGCGGCAGGTAGGTACTAAATTGCGTGCCGCGGTCCAAAATTGTCATGTTGAATTGCGTGCGCGTTGAAAAATGTGAGAACCACTGGCCTCAAGTTCCCCTCCCACCGAATCTGTACAAAGATCCATGTATTTGAAATAAGAATTTAAATATCTAATTAGTTGTCAATAAACCTGTGTTGTGACAGTTTGTTTGTTCTGTATATATATTTGTAGTGTATATCGATTGAAATGGAAATATTAAATGTAATGATTGGAGAGAAAGGTAAGACTTTGATACTCGTTGACAATTTTAAGTTTTCTTTTCAAAAAAAATTAAAAAATGAAATTCAACGGTGGGCATGCTCAAAAAGAATGTGTAAAGCATTTCTTAAAGTTAATGACCAATATTTTGTGATAGAAAGTAATTTGAATCACGATCATGAACCGGACAATGAGAAAATAATAAATCGTCAGAAATTAAGTAATAGTTGAAAGCGTAAAGCTGTCGATGATCCCTCTGATCGCCCAGCAAAAATTTTGCAAAAAGAACTAATAAAAGGTGATGTTGATAGATTAGATTTAAGCGACGTTCGTCTCATAAAAAATAATATGAATTACGCGCGACGAATGATAATCCCTAAATTGCCAGATAGCTTAGAATCACTTCACAATAGTCTATCGACCTTGGACATAAAAACAAATAAAAATGAAAATTTCTTGATGGTAAATGACGATTTAAATAATATAGTTTTATTTTCAACTGAAGTTAATTTAAGGGGAGGGACCGGTGAAATTTCAGCCTACTGAAGTTATTATTGTTAAAGAGTGTCAATTTTTTTTCTGGCATAATTTAGGATCCAAAATTATTATAAATTATTAAAATTAAAAAAAAAAATTTTTTAGCCATTTTAGAAAATTTATTTTTTGGAAAAATTAAATTTCTTTAAATTCCATACGATTGATTGTTTAAAATCGTGAAAAAAGCGTAAAAAAAATTCGACAATAAAAAATAATGAAAATTGTGGAAGTAGTTGAATTTTTTTCAAAATTACCACTAAAATTGAAAGCAATCAAAATTGATCTTGTTTAGGGGTAATAATTTTTTTCAACATTTTTTTTCAACCAAAAATCTTATTCTACTGAGAAAAACAACAAAAGGTAATTTTTAACAATTTTACAAATATTTTTATTTTTCAAAATTTTCATTTTTTGAAAAAATTGAAATTTTTCAAAATCCATACGCTTGATTGTTTAGAATCATGAAACAAGCGTATAAAAAAATCGGCAGTCAAAAATAATTAAAATTGTGAGAGAAGTTTAAATTTTAAATTTTCGAGAATTTTGAATTTGATTTTAAAAATTATTAACAAATTTATAGTTTTTCAATATTTCATGATATATTATACATTTAAATAATTAATATTGTCAGAAAAAAAATTGACCACCCTTAAACAGCTTTAATTTTGATGTGTTAAAATTTCAGCGGTCCCTCCCCTTAAAATTTCTATGTAATTTAAATATAGTGTTTGTCGATGGCACGTTCTACAGTTGCCCTTCACTCTTTAAACAAGTCTTTATTATTCACGGACATCATGAAAATATATATATACCTTTAGCTTTTTTTTTACTTAAAGATACAAAATCTGAATCGTATCAGAAAGTTTTTGAAATTTTATTTTTAGAATGCTTAAAATTAAAAGTAACTTTTTCACTAAAATTAATTTATGTAGACTTCGAAAAAGCAATTCATAATGCAATTCGTGCAACTATGTCAAATTCATTAATAAAAGGCTGCCGTTTTCATTTAAGTCAAAATTTTTGAAGAAAATTCAGGAATTGCATCTGGTACCAGATTATAAAGATGTAAATTCTAAAATTGGAAAGTTTTTAAAATTATTTTTTGGTCTGACATTTATAAATCCTACACTCTAAAAAAAGTAATCTTGATTCTAGCGAATTCCTCTTAATTTGATGCATATTTTCCTCTTATATATTGTATCAAAAGTAATAGTCTTCACTTGAGAGGATTTTCCTCTCGCATATAATTTGACAATTATGGTTATAAACTGATAAAGAAAAGCTATTATCATGCACTAAATTAAATATCTGTAATTAAATATTAAATATAATTAATGATTTATAGTCAATTACTTATATTAATTAATAGATTTCTTTATTTATTTAACTTTAATTCAATGTTTTTGACATCAGAACCTCAAAAAAATTGTTTTGTTTTATTATTAGTCACCAAAGAATAAAAATATTCTACATTCAAGTGGAATACTTTTGTTTTAAGAGGAAAAATTGAGAGGAAATTAGAAGAGGATTTTTCCTCTAAATATGAGATTACTTTTTTCAGGGTGTAAAAACGTTGAATCTGTTTTTATTGACGACTTTATGTCTGTTATTCCTGACGATGATAGACTAATGAGATTTTGTGACTACGTTTTAGAAAATTACATAGATGAAAATTCTGAATTTCCTCCTTATATTTGGGCAGAATTTTCGAATTCTATAACACGTACTACTAATGGCTGTGAATGTTTCCATTCTAAATTTAACTCATTTTTTTATGAAGCTCAGGCAAATATTTTTAATTTCATTGAAGCATTGAAAGGCAATTCGACATCTACCTAATACCCCTCGGCACGCAGTTCGATTGGGAGGGGTTCATACCTGGGATTCGGCACGCATTTCGGGCACACCGGCTGGAGAAGTTAACCAATCACAATTTTCTAAATAAGTTTTTATTTGCGTGGAATTTTAAACTTCCACTGAAATATTTCTGACAGATAAAATTATTAAGAAAGTTAATCTCAAAGATAGACAATATATAAAAATTTGGAATGTAAATAATATTTTTATAAAAAATATTTATTAAATCAGAATTTATTATAAAAATAGAAATTCTTCGATTTTTGATTTTTCAAAAAATTGAAATTTTTTTGTTAAAACTTCAGTAGTGATTTTTCTAATGTTTTTTGTCATAAAATAAATATTCTACAATAAAAAACTATTTAATTAATTAATATATAACTGGGTGAAAATAAAAAAATGACAATATGTGCCTAACTTTATAAATTGAAATAAAATTTTTGAAATGTTGAATGTCTTTTTTTATTTGTTAGTTTTGTACTTAAATATTTCAAAAATGATAAAACGCAAAATCAAGTAACACTTCTCTATTTATAAATATTGTTTTAAGTATTAATATAAATTAATTTATATAATTTTTTATAATACGAATTATATGAACTTTTATAATTATAGATGATAATGAAAACTTTGTTTTCCATATGAATAAAAAGAAATTTAATTTAAATAGGCAGAAAAAAAGATTTTTAAAACTAATTTAATATTAAGTTTAGACTTTATTAAATAATAATAAATTTTTAATAAATTCAGCAATGTATTTGATACTCTACTCTTGTTGCATTAATACCTGTTAATAATGTAAATAAAGTAAATAAATTTAGAAAAATAAAAAATTCTTTCTAAAGAAAGAAAACAATTTATTATCTGAACATTCAAAAGATTTTCATCTTAATCGTAGTAAAAAAATGCCTACATATTCTCACCATGTATTTTAATTACATTTGGGACGTTTTTTGTCAACCGGACCACCCCATCTCTCCATAATTAGATTAATTTAAAAAAAATTTATCATATTGGGAAAATTAGCTTGGAATGTCTACTTTATAATCCCGTTGGGCGCTTTTTGAAATTCAAAACGGCGACTTAAATATGGCGCCTAAACGACATAAAAACACAAAAAATCCACTAAGATGATCTATATTATTGTTTAAAGCTTCACATATGACGATAAAAATAACCACAACATAGTTTACTTACAAACTGATAACGTATCTCCATTCAAAATTCAAAATGTCGGATTAAATATGTCGGATAAAATTAAAAATTGAGCTAGATTCGTGAAAATTACTACTTGGGGGTTTTCGAGGTCGTTGGTTACAAATTTGATGTCAGCTTTTAAAAATAATAAATGGCAAACCAAAAATTTAAAAAATTGATCTAATTTCGTAAAAATGTCTACATAGGGGTTTTTTTGGTCGCTGATTACAAATCCGATGTCAGTTTTAAAAAAATTTTCAATGGTTGATGACAATTCTCTATTTAAAATTCAAAATGGCGGATAGACTTAAAAAATTAAGCTAGTTTTGTGATTATCAATTAAATAATCCTCACGTAATTTCCATAAAAAGTTATCTGGCGTTGTATTTGATAAGTTCAAGTGGCACTTTTTTACGTTCAATATAAAAAAGTTTAATCAATTTTTTATATTTTGGTCCACCATTTTAGATTCACCATTTTGATTTTTTAAAAAGTAACGATGAATTCATAAAGATTGCCCTGAAAAACCCTTAGGTAGACATTTTAACAAGTTTAGCTCAATTTTTTGGATTTTTGGTCTGCCATTTAGAATTTTTAAAAAGTAACCGCAGATTCGTAATCAGTGACCCCGCAAACCCCCAAGTAAACAATTTCAAGTGTTTAACACAATTATTTAAATTTTGGGCTACTATTTTAAGTCCGCCGTTTTGAATTTTTGAAAACTAATACCGGATTCGTGATCAGCGACCCTAAAAACCCCTGAGTAACAAGTTTCAGTCGAATCTAAACGATTTTTCAATTTTTGTCCGCCATATTGGATCCGCCATTTTGAATTTTAAATAGAGATTTGTCATCAACCATTGAAAATTTTTTTAAAACTGACATCATATTTGTAATCAGCGCCCAAAAAGAGCCCTATGTAGACATTTTTACGAAATTAGCTCAATTTTTTTAATTTTTGGTCCGTCATTTTGAATCCGCCATTTATTATTTTTAAAAACTGACATCAAATTAGTAACAAGCGACCTAGAAAACCCCCAAGTAGTAATTTTCACGAGTCCAGCTCAATTTTTGATTTTATCCGCCATTTTGAATTTTGAATGGAGATACGTTATCAGTTTGTAAGTAAACTATGTTGTGGTTATTTTTATCGTCATATGTGAAGCTTTAAACAATAATATAGATCATCTTAGTGGATTTTTTGTGTTTTTTATGTCGTTTAGGCGCCATATTTAAGTCGCCATTTTGAATTTCAAAAAGCGCCCAACGGGATTATAAAGTAGACATTCCAAGCTAATTTTTCCAATACGATAAAATTTTTTCAAATTAAACCAATTAAGGAGAAATGGGGTGGTCCGGTTCACAAAGAACGTCCCAAATGTAATTAAAAAAAAAAGAAATGGAATTTGAATTGTTAAACTTAAAAAAGGTACTGTCTTGATTCAAACATGTGGTGAGAATACTGATAATAATCATTCACTCATGTCTATTGGTGTTCAAACATTTATGCCCATTATTTTTAATTTTATAAAAAAGATGTACTTAATTTTTTTTTAATACAATTTTTATTTTTTAAAAACTTCAGTCGTATACGGCATTGATCATTGAGGCCAGAAATATTGTTTAATATGAGTAATATATAAGGAAGAATTCTACCAGAAAATTAAAAAAGATTAATCTTTCAATACTCTGAATTGTGAAAACTTTTACAATTGAAACACATTTAATTGTAAAATTTTAAAATAAACAATTCAGAGTTGTTAATCATTTTTTATTTTCCGAGTAATCAATTCACATAATTTTTTTTGTTAAATAAGATAATGAGAAGTCAATTCTAGCATACAAAATGTCAATTAATAATACATAAATTTTTTTGAATTCCTGAAAAAAGAATTGCTGTGAAATTTCAATTATTACATTACTCATGCAATATGCTTTTTGTAACTTTTATTGATACACTTAATGGCAGTGCAATGACCGAATTAATAATTAATAATAATAATAATTATTATTATTATTAATATATAGAATTAATAATATAATAATTATTTATTGAAATAAATTTAAACATAAAAAAATTATTTAATAAGTTGATTTATTAAAGAAAGAAATCTTACTGCGCATTGAATGTATAGATTAAAGTTGAAAAAAATCAATGTGAGTATAATTGAACTTCCAGTTATAATTACAGGTTATCAATTTTTATTGTATTAAAAGTATATTGAAATTAACAAAAAAATACATTTTAATAATATTATTTACAAATTTTTAATTTATTACATAATAATCTAATATTGTTAAAAATGGGATGACAGAAATATATGTTTACTAAAGAATATAAAAGTCCGATTTGTTGAAGTCTCGACTTTTATATCGACAATAAAAATATTTTTTTCTTTTTTTTTATGTTGAGTCCAAAAGAAAATAACATGATACAAAATTGTACAATTATTTATTATTATTATTTTTGCTTAAAATTTAAATATAAAAAGAATAAAAAAATTAATATATTTTACAATTTAACAAAAAACATAAATACGATATGACACAAGCAATTTTTTTCATAAACTTAATTTTTTTATCTGATTTTTCTACAAGGTTTTATTTTATATATATAAAAAAATTCTCGATACATACGAAAATAACTTATTTTTTAATTAAATGTTTTACATAAAGATAATTTTTTGAATTTTCATTAAATCAAATTTTTTTTATGAATGTCATAATTTTTAAAATACATCAAATTCCGTGCGCAAATCCAGGTAGTTCCAAAGTAGTTTATTTTACTTTTACCCTCCCCTATTATAGTGTATAAATAATGTGCAACATTTTTTTTTTTAATATTATTTACAGAATTTATTAAAATTGTCTTATTTTTACAATACAAATACTTTTTAGCTTATTAATAATTACGTCGTAATCGGTAAAAATGTACGGGAAACATATGTTATATATTCTAATCTATTTTTTATATACCGTTAACATTTTTACGGAAAGAAAATTTTTTCTACGAAATTACATTTCTTTATTTTATGTGGGCAGAGTAATTCTTCTTTTTTTTGTATAAGCCCATCGTTGCACATCATTTTTTTAAAAAAAGTTATTGAAAATAATACTTAAAACCTTTTTTTTAAATAATAAATCAGTGGTTTTTTCAACTTTCTCCATATATGACAAGCTATGAAGAAAGAGACCTAAGAAGCCAAAAAAAGTGTAAAGAAATATTATTTTAAGAATATTAAATAAAACTTTTCCAATAGTCAACTAAAATTAGAAGAGTGGGGCTAATTTTGTTAAGGGTTCATCCCTGAATGTTGTCATGGCAACGGAGTGTGCGCGACGATTTTCGCTGACAGGACGCACGTTCGATGGAAAAATCATTCCTGGATCAACCATTGTAAAGAGTGTCGACTATCGATAAATCTATATCTTATATTATAATAATTGTGTGAGTATTCTGCGGAGACACCTCATCGTTTGGATAGAGAATTTGACGACGTATACTCTGAGTAAATTTCCGATTATTAAAACCAATTGTTGAAAACGCTCAGCTTTTATTATTTAGGTTATTTTCATTTACCCCCCCACCCTTTTTCTTGTTAAAATACTGAAGTAAATTTTAAAAATCAATTTTTTTAAAAATAATTAAAAGTCGAGTGGCGCCGGGCAAAATTAACATTTTTTATAAATTTAATGATTCATTTTATTAATCCTTGAACCCGCACTGGAATTAACTTGACCACGTGCGGTGAGAGAATTTTCTTGTAATTTAACTCAAGTAAAAATTATACGTTTCAAAAATAGATTATGTTTATGATAGTTTTAAATTTGTTTCACTTCAAACTTATTACATTCAATTTAAAAATTGATTTTGGTTTTATATAATTAATATAAGGAACTTTTAATCAAGGTAAAAATTGTCATAAACAAAGAGTATAATTTTTTTTTGCTCCTTAGGTCCCTTTCTTCAGAACACATCAATGGTTTTAATATTGCACTATGCACAAATATAAAAAATATATAAAAATAACATAAAAACTTATCTTGCATTATTTTTGAATATTGAAATCCCATATGTCATATGTATACCTGTATCCAGTTGGCACGGCAAATTTTTTTTGGTCGCATGCTAACAGAATAATGGCATCGATAACTAGTTTAACAATTTCACAAAAAAATCTTCTATTGCTAACGTTACTATTATTTACTAATTTAACGAAACGTTTATTATTCATCACAGATTTATGTATACTTAAAGAGGAAGGAAAGGGGGAATTTTATTTCCCCCATAATTGGTATGAAACTCGAAAGTACCAATTAATTACCTGACACGAAATTTGGATATCCGCACAGAATTTGGTATCAGCCAAGTATTAGAAAAAAATAAGATGCCTGGAATGTTAAATCTATAAAAAAGACAATTCTAACATGAGATTTATTATCTCATGAGAATTTAAATTTTTCAAAATGTTGCAAATAAAAATTAAATTTTTTTATTTAAAGAATAGAATATATGTAGTTGGACTACTAATCTTTGTTTGTCTGATTCACCCTTAAAAAGTATCAAGAAATTATAAAAATTTGTTTAAAAATTATTGGAATTGTGAAAAACTAAAGCAAACATCGAAAAGTAATTCTCATTAATTTTGTTGTTATCAATATCGTAGTTTTAATACAATTTTTTAAAATTCAAAATAATACAATTTAACCAAATTATAAACAATTAAAGTATTCAATGCGAATTATCTAAAAAATTATTGAATTAATTTTAATTAAAATAATCGAAGATTTGCATACAATTAGTACGTTATAAACTTTTAGATTAAACAAAATTTCTTTGCAAAATAAACTGTTAATATTATTATAAAATGAATTTTAGATTATATTATTATTTTTTTAATGACATGTAATATTTTAATAAATTACTTCTCAATAGTTGCATTAGTTATTTTAATAATTATAAAAAATTAGCATAATTTTACAGAGTTCTTGTTTTTATTATGTGCGATATAAGTACGTAAGATTTTTTAAATAATTTTTTTCAATATGTGTATATTAATATTTTAAAAAGTAAATTTCATTAAAATACAAACATAAAGAACAGTATCGAGAATTTTTTTTCCTTTTAAAATAATTTAAACTACCAATTAACTAACTTTTATAAAAATCTCTAACATAAAAAATTCTTTACTTCTCCTATTCTCTCGTACTAACTTTTATTCAGACTGCTCATGCTGATCCTGGAAGACTTATATGTTTATTACTATTTACGCACACAATCTTAAACTGGCCTTTTCAATATAGGTTATGATTTAAATTTAGAACTGAAAATATTGTAACAAATTTCTATTTATAAATTAAATTTACCAATAAAAATGTAAATAAATGAAAAATGTTTAAATTATTTTTCAATTTTAAAAAAGATAAAAATCGATCGAAGTCTGTTTCATATTTTACAGATTGAATTTTTATATGATTATAAAAATTATTATAATATTATGTAATTAATAATGACTTGGTTATAATATTTTTTTATATGCTTTTAGTAATTTTAAAAAATTCTCATCTAATGATTCTTAAGTACACAGTTTTCTTGTGTGTATCAAATTGATACAAGAATTAAGATCAACTTATGCAACGTTTTGATTCGATATAAGGTATCAAATTGATCCAAATATTTGTATCATTTTCAAGAAATGATCCAGAATATGGGATCATTTTTTGATACCTGAATTAGTATCAAAGTATAACTGTCATGGCCGGCATGCTCTTATTGACAAGTTTATTTATTAATTTATTCACTACACTGAATATTCAGATATTAAAAAGACGCTTTTATTATGAATTTTAAGAAAGAGAGAAGCGAAAACTTATAAATTGCGAGCAGTTAAATAAGAAAAAATTTATTTCGAAATAAAATGAAATACACTAACCTTTATTTATGTTTATCACATAAGATTTAAGTTAAGTTCACAATCACAACACTTGAAAATTTTTAATTATTTTTATAGTTCAAATAATTATCAATAATTTATTTATTATAAATGAACAAAATTTAAGCAATGCACGTTTGATAAATATTTCTAATGCGTTGTCAATTAATGCAATTAATAATTTCCTATTACACAATATCATAATCGACATATATGACATTTGAAAACAAACAGGGTTGGGAAACAAGAGCCCAAAATATTTTCGTCCAAAGCAGAGTTGGGTAGGATTCTGTTTCACGTTTAAGGTTAACGCACATGTAATTTTGAAATAGGGAAAAACTGAATAATTATTTTTTAATAGTTTTGTTAAAAATAATTTGAACTGTAGAAATAATGAAAAAAATTCAAATGTTGCGATCTTTTTTCAGACAAATAAAAATTCTATTAATTAGAAATTCTGATAAAGGTGCTTTTATACCTCAAATTTCGATCAGATTAACATTATTTCTGGACCGTGAAAATGACTTTTCACGGTCCAGAAATAATGTTCATCTGATCGAAATTTGAGGTATAAAAGCACCTTAAGAGTGTCGAACGTTGTCTTGATCAAAAACATGAAAAACTATAGTCTGTTTCACGTTCACCTCTTAATTGCAATGTTTTAACTTATGAAATTTAATGTTTAATGTTAAAATTAAATGTTTAATGTTAATTTAAATTTAATGTTTCATTCAATGAAACTAAACTATACTTTTATAAACAGGTTGAGAACCTTTTCGTGCTAACTGAATGCTCATGGAGCGGTCACACCTCGCCTGCAGGAGCAGTTGCCAATGGCAACCATGTAACGGTAAGAGAGATGGAAAATCTTCTATTTCTCTTACTCTTACACGGTTGCCATGGGCAACTGCTCCTGCAGCCGAGGTGTGACCGCTCCATCATAGCGAGAATTTGGAAAATGCATACACTTTCTGAAAATTATTGTTGGACATAATTTCAATCCTACCCAACTCTGCTTTGGACGAACCTATTTTGGGCTCTTGTTTCCCAACCCTGTTTGTTTACAAATGTCATATATGTCGATTATGATATTGTGTAATAGGAAATTATTAATTGCATTAATTGACAACGCATTAGAAATATTTATCAAACGTGCATTGCTTAAATTTTGTTCATTTATAATAAATAAATTATTGATAATTATTTGAACTATAAAAATAATTAAAAATTTTCAAGTGTTGTGATTGTGAACTTAACTTAAATCTTATGTGATAAACATAAATAAAGGTTAGTGTATTTCATTTTATTTCGAAATAAATTTTTTCTTATTTAACTGCTCGCAATTTATAAGTTTTCGCTTCTCTCTTTCTTAAAATTCATAATAAAAGTCTTTTTAATATCTGAATATTCAGTGTAGTGAATAAATTAATAAATAAACTTGTCAATAAGAGCATGCCGGCCATGACAGTTATACTTTGATACTAATTCAGGTATCAAAAAATGATCCCATATTCTGGATCATTTCTTGAAAATGATACAAATATTTGGATCAATTTGATACCTTATATCGAATCAAAACGTTGCATAAGTTGATCTTAATTCTTGTATCAATTTGATACACACAAGAAAACTGTAATTTTAAAAAATTCTCATCTAATGATTCTTAAGTAGTGATACAATTTTATAACAAATTTTACTTATAGAGAAATTTATTTTAATTATCAAGGGCCTATTTTGAATAATAAATACACTGTGAGAAAATAATAATTGTTTGACAAAAATACGATTCTATTGGATTCAAAGCATCCACATTAAATTTTTTACTAATAAGAATTTTTTCAGTGAATGCTCTTTAAACAATAACATTAGAATCAAATAGTACCGTAGTTGATCAAATATTATATTTTCTTAGTGCAAATTTTTTTTTATCCACATTTTTCTATTACAATTCATGAAACAAAAAATTTTTTCCCTTATCAAATCTCAATAATTATTATTTACACATTTTTGTAATGAATCTTGAGAATTAAACAAAATTAACACAATCTCAATAATGATTCATATTTTTTTTTTTGATCATGGTTACTTTCTTTCGGATCTCTATTATTCAATCCAAAAAAAATTTTTAATGAAAAATGAATTTTTGGCTATTAAATGAGCCGCACCGTACGAAACTATTTACGTAGGTAATAAATTTCAAAAAATTAGTGAAAAATTGTTTAATGAAAATAATATTTTTTTGAAAAAATGAAGAAAAATATTTTTTTTCACAAGAAAATCTTAAATTCTAAGTAATTGCATAGACTTTAAAAAAAATAACAAATTACATACAGAAAAAAGTATTTGACAAAAAAAAATAATGACGGCTGAATGATCGAAGAACGATAATAATAAAATGTTACCGAATTTCTTAACTATGCAGTAAATCTACGTTTATAGAATATAGTACCTGGCACAGGAACATGACCTTTCAGTCATTGGCATCACAACATAACAAGGACTACAAGCTGCCGCACGCGTCAATCTCGCACTGAACGAACACTTTTTTTTATTACACACGACAATGACAGCAGCTAGACACTTGGTCCTGAGTATTTCTGTATCATCTGTTATTAATTTTTTTTTTTTGACTTTACATTGTTCTTATTTTGCTTTTACAAATCGGCTTTGGACATTTTTTTTAATTGACGATCGCTTAGCAAAAGATTAAGTTATTGCACTTTCCTTTCTAAACTGATCGTGACACGTTTGGTAGACAAATATTTATTTGCAACCAAAGGCACACGGATTTACAGAGACTTTTTTTGTAATCTACTTTTTTTTAAAAACATTTTACAGATTCTTGTACCAAAGTTCATGTACAAGTTTAATAATACAACAGTCTCTGCGTTACCGACACAATTTCCAAGAACCAAAATTGGCCATAATTATGATTAACTAATATGCTTTTAGAATTTACGCGTAGGCAAACAACCCCGATGACATCAAGTGATACAGTCTTGTCACTTGGGGTTGGCCGGGGCTACGTAACACTAATCGCAGAATTAGAAGGACCTGAGGGTGCTGGACCCACATCACTTTTTATACATTGTCCTGTTAATTGATTAACGCTTAGGGGATTGTTTATATCGTGGGGATTTGTTCCAACGGGATTTCGATGTGGCGGCGCCGCCGCTGTTTGTTGCGCTGAATTTAAATTATTCGACGACAATGATGTTGGCACTGGTGGTGTTAATGGACATGGACATGGACTTGCTAAACTTGATGGTGATGGTAACACCAATGATGGACTCGCCAAACTTGATAATCCCGATAAACCACCAGGACTACTTAATGATTCATCATCTTCTGGTGTACCAGCTTCGCCCACACTTCCAAGATTGTCCTCTGAATGATCGTCTTCAACGTCACCATCGCCTTCACCATCACCGTCACCGCCCTCCCCCATATATCTGATACATTTCTTCTTACGCCTGCAAAAATAGATTATAATTATTTTTATAAAACAACATTTTTTTATTCTCTTTCAATTTCAGATTGTTCGCACATAATTATCATCATAGTTGAGTTTATTCATCGAAAATTTATAAATTTGCGGACAGAAAATAATTTCTTAATTTCTCTTACTACCGAAATATATGTGTGACACACTCTGAAGAAAATAACCTAAGGAGCCTAAGGCCTCGAATTATACGACTTTTTTCGACTTATTTTAATAATACTTTTTCAATTTGATTTTACAAAATATTTTTTTTTACAAAATTCTAAAACTATTTTTCAATTAAAACACAGTGCTTAAGAAGTATTAACAGAAAAAAATGGGTGTAAATATTTGTGTGAAGAATATTCGTCATTATTTATAGGTTAGAAATTCGTTTGAATAAAAATAATGAAATTTCCTTATTTCAAAATATCGCATAAAAATTGAAATATTTTTTAAATTTCATGTAAATACAAGATTAAAAATTATTCTATTTTGAAGAAAGTCTAGTGTTTAATTAAAGACGCATTTATTATCATGAACATAACCCCAAAACTTAGACTAATTTTAAAGTCCAACGCAGAATAGAAACGTAACCGGAATCGTAACCGCAAATGCTACCGGAATAATGAGTTAGAGAAGGACAAGCAATGTGTCTATCCTTTTCTTACTCATTAATCCGGTTGCGTTTGCGATTACGATTCCGGTTACGTTTCCGGTTTTACAAAAATCATTTGTTTCCTGACTTTTGAATTAGCCTAAGCTTTGAGGTTGTGTTTATGACAATAAATCAATTAAAAACGGGATTTTTTTTAAACAGAAAAATTTTAATCTTTACAATTTGCATGAAATTTTTAAAGATATAATATTTCGCTTTTTATACGATGTCTTGAGAAAAGGAAATTTTATGATTTTTATTCCAATGAATTTCTAACCTATAAATAATGTCTATAACACGCATTCAAATATTTACACCCATTTTTGTCATACCAGCTATTGCTTCTAAAGCATCGTGAAAAATTTTATGAAATTCAATAATTGTTTAAAATTTTAAAAAAATCAGTAAATAAAATTACCAAAAATTTCAACTCCAAATCACTTGAAATTCAATTATTTTCAAAAATTTCAATTCAAAACATTCTAAAATTTCCCATCTAAAACTATCTGTCTGTAATTTCTAATAAATTTTTCATCGAAAACAATAAAAAATCACTTAAAGTTCAATAAAATAAAAGAAAACTAACGCAGTTTAAATTTGCAAAAAATTTATTTCAAATTTAAAATCTTCTGCAATTCAATTATTTATAAGTAAAAATTAATTTAAAATATTGTAACATTTATGTCGGAATTTTTTTTACCATTAAAACTAAAAACTGTGTCAAAGTTTTTTAATTCGAATAAATTGATTAAATCAAATTTCGAAAATTTTTAAAAAATGAACTTTAAGATTTTTTTTTAGAATTTTGTCCTACTTAATTAAAATTTTGAGAATTTGTCTTAGTTCGATTCTGAAATATTCGGAATAAATTTTCTTGATAATAGTCTTATAGAATTAATCTTATTAAGAAATTAATAAAATGAATTTAATATCTAATAATATTATTTATTTAAAGTAAAATAGGTATTGAGTAAATAATTAAATTTATTTGAAATAAAAAAATTGAGTTTTTTTTGAAATGTAAATCTACTAAAATGACTTTTTTTGCGCCTTAAAGTCGATCCGAGGCCTGAAAAAGTGATATATTTATGGTAATTTAGAGTTAAAATAAACAAAGAAGATCCTCTAAATACAAACAATTAAGTTTTTGTTACATTCAAAGTAAAAACTGATTTTTATTTCATACAATTAAGGGCGCACTCACACCTTTTGGCTGCCTGCCTGCCTGCAGGAGTTGTCATGGCAACGTGTAGGAGTAACAGAGAGAGAAAATTCAAATTTGAATTTTCTGTTACTCCTACACGTTGCCATGACAACTCCTGCAGGCAGGCAGGCAGCCAAAAGGTGTGAGTGCGCCCTAAACCTATTTTCACAATAGGTTATTTTTTGTTGGTTGCCATTTGTCATAATTCTCGTCAGCTACCGCCTATGCTCTAGTGAAAATTTAATAACTTTATGGGTGTTTTCGGTAGTTGCTGTGAGTATACTGTCAGTATGTTGTGATTGGCTGATCCATCAGCATGTTTATTGTCAGTATACTGTCAGCAACTTCTGCAAAGATCCTATAATAACTTTTAATTTTAACAATAAAGTCACTAAATTTTTACTAGAGCAGAGTGCAGTAGTTGATAAGAATTATGACAAATAGCGAGTGGAAACAATGGAAACTAACCAAATGTCACATATAAGAGTAAGAGAAATAGGAACATTTTTTATTTCTCTCACTCCATAACCTATAATTTTTTTCGTTTCTTAGGTCTCTTCCTTCAGAAAGTGTCACACATCATTTCAAATAACACGTAAGTTTATCAGTATGTAGCCCAGTGGAAAAAAATGTGGAAAAATTGATTTATAATCTACAATTGTTATCTGATTTAAGAAATTTTTTTTTAATTAAAACTAATAAATATAATTATTTAATTTCATTGACGAAAAATAATTTTTCAAATTGATTTTTTAGTGTAAAAATGTTTTACCAAACTTTAATCAATAAAATCTCGTGTTAATTCGTTTTAATTTTAACATTTAATAAACAATTAAAAGAGATTTTTTTAAAATGAAAAATAGGATGTTCTTTGCAGAATTTTATTAACTTTAATTAAGAAAATTTTTATATCAGATAAAAATTGGGCATTAAATGACAATTTGTCTAAAGGTACTTATTTTTTCCACTGTGTTCTAAAATAACAATTTACCAATCATTATTAACTAGGAATGTTAATTTTTTGTGCATTTTTACTATTTTTCTTAAATGTTTAGCATAAAATTCCTGAGAAAGTTATTGTATCGGATTTTTAATTTAAAAATCAAAAATGTTTGCTTTAAATAAAAGATGTAAAATGAATCTAATGTGAAAATATTGTTTATTAAATGTAGCAAAAATATTTAAATAATCTAATTCAGAATTTTATAATTAAAAATCCAAGAAAGAAAATACATTATAAAAAATATTTTCTCAATTCAAAACTGGCGGATCTAATATGGCTGACGATTTTTTAAAAACTGTTCGGATTTGTTTGAAATTCGTTTTCAAAACATTCACTTATTATTTTTTAAACCTATTTTTAATTTTTCAATAAAATGTTCTAACATATAATTGAATAAAGATTTTTGATCAGCGACTTCTAAAACTTGTCCGAGTAACGATTTTCAAGGGAATTACAACGATTTTTAAAAAATGGGACGCCATATTGATACGCCATTTTGAATTTAAAAAAATGATATTTTTTGCAATATATTTTTGTCTCTTGGATTTTTTATATTTTTTGTAAACATATATATATTTGTTTCAACATTTTTTTAACAATAAAAAATATTGTTATTTTATTTACACATTTTATTTGTTTAAATACAAAAATTTTGCATAAAAAAAATTAAAAATCCGGCCCAATGAAGCTCTAAAGAATTTCATGCTGAACATGAGAAAATTTTTTTTTGAAACATTAAAAATAAAAAGGACTTTGATAATGAATTTAGCGAACAATCCAATCTTTAAACACTGTCATGAAACATTAAGGCGTTACTGAAAGACCATGCGTTCACTTCAAATCATAATTGCATGAAAGAACGTACAAAATAAAATATAGAATACAGTTAATAATAGTTAAAGAAACAGAAACTTTTAATAAATAATATTTTTTATAAATAAAATATTTTGACAAACAAGAAACGTTTAATCAACTGTAAATACACATTTCATTTCTTAAGTAGAGAAACTCTTATTGTTGTTATGTAAAAAATTTTTGAATTAACCCTTCAAGGCATAGTTTTTTCTACTTATAAAAATATTTTGTCTGTCACAAACAACTACTTTACAATTAATAAAAAAAACAAATTACGATAAAAAATAAAATATTTAATAATTTTTGTAGTGTTATATCAGGCAGTTGGAGCAATTGATAAAAAATGTAAAGTTTGCTCTGATTTCTAAAGGAACGAGTTAAAAAAAATTAAAATGCGATATTTTTTCGTCTATTTTTAATTAAAAATGATCTAAGAAGGTTCAATTTTCTTGTCTTTTGATCCATCAGCCTTAAGTACATAATTAAACTACACACGAAAAATAAAAATTTAAACTATGTGAAAGTTGAATTCTCACTGTACTGAAATGAGAATCTATATTCACATTGTAAGGAACGCGCAAAATGGGCATTTTATATTTTCGCATCTGCATTGAAAAAAGTCTGAGTAAATCCCACCTGAAATGTTAAAAATTTGCAAACAAGGCAAAATTCATTAGGGAATCCAAACTATTTACCATAAAAGTTGAGTGAATTTTAATAAAAAGCATATAACATATCCAGACAGCACAATGTTTTGTCTGAATCTTTACAGAAATTGAACTTTCCAATTTTGGAAGTTATAACTATCAATGTTAGGAAAGCTTGGTCCAGAAAGAAATAACCACCTGTACAGAAAGATTGACAATGAAACTTGATGGAAACTTCCTTTGCAATTTTCAGTTTTAAAACGATGCACAGTAGATTTCTATAATTTTTAAAACTGCGCAACAGTCTTTCCTGAACATTGATGAAAAAGTTTTTCATTACTTTATTGTCACAAGTTTCACCGTTAATCTTTTTGTACATTTTTCTAATTTGATCGAGCTTTTGTGATATTGGCATTTAAAACTTATCAAACTGGAAGCACCCATTTCTGTAAAGCTTCAGACAAAACGACGAGTGGATCTATAATGACAATCCGATTCGCAACAGGAGCAACGTATGCCAACGTACTGAGCAAACTTCGGAAGGAAGTGAATCCGGACGTCAGCCACTCGTAAGTTGTGGACGCAAGGCCTACAAGAAAGGGAGATCTCCTGATCAAAATCTGAG